GGATGCTTACTCTGCTCTGTTCCCAGGGAATACACATGTGGGTTACGTGGGTGATCAGTCTTCCTATCCCTGTCAGCCACTATCCAACAAGCAGTGCAGATTTTACAGAACTGCAGTTGGATCATCAACCTTCAGAAGTAATTTGCTGGGACTCACGATTTGACATTTGGTCTGACATTGGATACAGCCCTGTACAGGATCTTCTTGCCCTGGGACAAATTTCTGCCCTTCTGCTCTTGTGTCTAGTTACTTCACAGGATTGGCCCTCAATTCTTGCCTGCATGATGATCTTGGGCCTGATGAAGGCTGCCTTCTGATGCAGAGCCATATACCCATTTCCACTCCAAATTGTTGCAGCTCAACATTCTGGCATGATGGATTGTGGGGTCACTCAAGAATTCTGTCAAACAATGCCATGCCATACATCAACTTCCAGGGAGGCACTGAAAGGCTCAGAATTAAGTGGACTTGATCATCTCTTGGGCAAAACTGCATGCTATGACCCTCTCTGCTATCCACAACCCAGATTTGGAAAATTGGCAAGAAAGTGAAGGTATTTTAAGTCTTTTGCCACAAGTGAGGGACAGTGTACATGGGTCTTTTGGCATCCAGATTCAACAACAAACTGGATCGGTTTATACCCACTTCCAAGGACCCTTGGGCATTCGCAGTGGACACTCTAGTCACCCTGTGGGATCAATTTTATATAATCTACACCTTTTCAACTTCTCCATTTTCTGCACCACAGGATTGAAATGGAAGGCATTCTAGTAATTCTCATCACATTGAACTGGCCCAGGAGGACATAGTACACGGTCATACTCCTGGCAAACTCTCCATGGACCCTTCCAAATCACTCAAACCTTCTGTCCCAAGGATCGGTCCATGGTCCTGCCTCTTGGCCGCTGGCATTAACAGCCTGACTGTTGAAGGGCTTATTGGACTCTTACCCTCTAGGGCTAGGAAGTCAATGAAGTTGAATTACTAAAGGGAAGTGAAGTTGCACTGTGCATGGTAATTTTCCCCAGAACATCGTAAATGTGGTGAAACATCACTTTGCAGGTTCACCCCATTCGTTAGGCTCTGGCAAAATTGCCTTGCAGAGTGCAACTGGACTTGCAAAGTGAGCAGTCTGTTTGCCTTTAGTAAATCAGCTCCTTTTTTTTCATGAAAGTCCACCATTGCACAGTACACGGAAGTTCAATCCTAAGAAGTATTCTGTAGTCTATCCTCACTTGCAAGGGGATGTTCCTCGACGCTGCTACTTCTGCATGGAGGGTCTCTAAGTTAGCGGCCTATCTTGTAAAAAGGCTTGTCTAGTTTAACACAAGGACACAGTTGTCCTGCTGTATAAAGTCTTTATCTTAATCGTACAGTACGTGCTGTAGGGATCAACATCTTGGACACAGTCTGTGCTTCTCAAGGATTCCTGAAGGGGGCACCCTGTTTCTGGCACCAATTATTGTTATTACTAATTATATTATTATTATTATACAGTATTTATAAAGCGCCAATAGTTCGCTCAGCGCTGACATTACAAAGGGGGACAGAACATGTGACAGAACAATACCAATACAATGCAAAACATGAGGGGATTGAATAATTATTCATAATTATAAGTCACCTGAGCTTCTGTTTGTAGATTTGTTCTACCAGCTGAATTTTTCAGACATAAGTTAAAAAGGATAACTTTACCTTTTTGGGAAAAAATGATAAATGCACATATTTTTGCAGGAATAAAAATGTGCATGTATTATTTTTTCCCTAAGGAGCCTGGAAAGCATTGCACCCATGATCAATGGATCAAGGATTCAGTGCCAGACTCCTGCAGACAAGCCCTGCAACTTTGAGCCTGTACCTTCATACGGCCTGACTGTTTACAAGTTGCAGGGCTTGTGAATGAACTATGAGGCCGCTCATCAGCGACCCCGCAGTCCATTCAGAGCTACAAGCTGTCAGCCACAAAGGCTGACAGTGCTTGTAGTTAAAGTCATTCACAGGAACCTTTGAATGAATGACCTGGTTGTGTGGGCACACGGCTGCGTTTTTTTCAAACAGTGGCAGCAGGCACCTGAAGAAGACCACTGTCACTGGGAGGGGGAATGGGGGAGAGGCTGCAGCTGTTGAAACATATAACATGTTCCAGAAGGTGAACTTATCCTTTAACAAGTTGCTCTCTTAGGCGGTCTCTTATTGACTAGTTTGTTATGTGGGCCAATTTACATTTTGTTTGCTGTTCTGCCCATTCCTCAGACTATTTCTGTGCATCCCATAGTTGCATACAAGGACTCCTGAACACAGATGCCTAAAAATGCTACATTTATAGGAATTCGGGCATTTTTTATGGACCTAAATGAAAGCTATTGTTTCATTGGACCTGTACCACGCAAGTAACTTCATCTGTGTATAGATCAGTAAGAAAAAAAAAAGGCATCTTGCTCATCAGTATTTTACACGCAAATACGCATGCACATTACAACCCCTTGCTTAAAAATAGCATGTGTGCGCACATTTACACGCATGTATACATGTACTATACAGCCCATCCTCTTATTTTTACACAGGACTTTCTGCCAGGAATATCTGATGTTCATACATCAGTACCCTGTGCAAGAACCCTTAAGATCCTATGTTGTATATTGTACAACAAGAAAATAAGATTTTTGATTTACCTCTAAATACATTTGTGAAATATAGTACAGGACACAGGTCCCTCCCCTCTTTCATATGATCTCCCGATAGCTTGCCACAGAACTAGGGCCAGCTTGATGTGGGTGCGGTTATATAGGTGATGTCCTTGCAGCTTTCTCTTTTGACATATAACCCATTGTTAAAGACTGATTGCCCCATGTCCTGTTCTGAACGCCAATAAAACAATCAATTATAGAAAAAATCAAATATTCAAAACTTGATGCATAGTTTCCATATGGGCAGTTTAGAGAGGAACAACAGGATGTCTGTAGCCATACATATTTGTATTTATGTCCTTATGTGCAGTTAGATAAAGTGAACCTGTGAGGATAGAAATATAGAGAGCTGCCATAACTGACTTGTAGTTAAAAGTGCATACTTAGGAACTGTCATCTTGATCCTTGGATCATTACCCAGAAAACTTCCTGGCTGGAACGGTCATCTCAGCAGAGAGGTATAAGTTTGGGAGCCTTGGAACCTTTAAAAACAAGTTGGAAAAGGCATAGCTTTTGCTTGTGTGTGTTCCCTATACGCATACAGTATACACAAACTAGCATAGAAAAGTGCCCTCTTGTATTTTAGCTGGTAAATAAAGCAAGTTTACATGGCATTAGTTTTCGAATTTACAAATATTGTTTGTTCCAGAAATGTTCTTCTACAGTTGCTTGTTACAGTTCTGATATGATCAATAAAAGTGTTGGTAGTTGCATTCTGTTTACCCCTGGAAATATATAAAAATAAATACACCCGTGCCCAGAACCAAATGTGATTATGTGTACAGCTGCTGTGACCAACACAATAGTGACAAAACTGATACAAAAAAATAGACAAACAGTGCTTGCACTTTAAATTAAATGTCCAAATAAAAGTCTTTGTAAAATCAAGACAATTGTTCTCATGTGTTCTTATATGCCCACGTGCTTTAATAATATTAAACTTGTGCCCCACTCCACTGTGTCCCAAAGTAAACACTTTGCACTCACTGGATGGTTTTGACCTCTTGTAAGCAACAAGAAATTCAAGCTGCCTAGTGGTATAATCATACATCACTTGTCCACTGGAGAATAAAAACACCACACATCCAAGGATGCTTGTGAATGTTGTCACCAGTATTGCCACCACAGGTCCCACCTTTGATCCTCTCAAGTACTCCAGTTACTAAGTGATTAGAGATAAAGGAAGCCTTTAGTTTAGAGTAATTTTTGTATCATCAGGAAATACCGCTGACTTGCCCAGCGTGCGTTCCAGCTAAGTGAAAATGTCCCGGAAGCCCCTAAGCGTTTCGTCACTAGAGTAATGCCCTTGCATTCTGTTTACCCTTAACTTGCACCTTAGTTTGCTTTAAAGTCAGACTACAGTAAGTTTTATCAGTTGCATGCTAAGATTGTTAGCTATTCTGCAGTTTTTCTCATAATGGGTTCTAAGCTAAAACTATGCAGGGTCTGCCTTCCTGCAACAGTTAATGGTCTGCTGCTCTTGCAATTACATAAATGCAGTGGACAAAAGCAGACATTATATGTGGTTCCTGGAACTGAACATATTCAAACTTGTAACTGCCCTATACTTTATACTGTTAATATGTGCAAATTTCAGACAGAATTATTATTATTAAAGAAATTTTTATATTGACTGATTATAAAGTGCCACGTTTGTCATCACCATGTAAAAAGAAGAGAGATTGCTTCCCATCTTTCCTCTATGTTTCCAGTCACCAGCCACTACATTATTAGAACTCAGCAAGGACACAGTAGTAATATAGCAACTTTTAGGTTGGTTATGATTCTTTGCCCAATGCAGCTCTGCAAGAGGACAAAGATCATACATGACCAGAAAAGTGTCCATGCTTATGCGAATGTCTAAAAATAAACCATACCAACGCTTTATTTAATAATTATTTTCAATATGTAATCAATTTATTCTTAGACCTATCAGCAGCAAAATGAACAATTAATATAATGCAGGTTGAGCTTTACTTCAGTTTAAAGTAAATGTATTGGTGAAAAGAATACAATAAAATGGTTTGGGGTTTGTTTCCTAGTATAACTCATTAAGATCCAGTGTGAGATGCATCTCTTAGTGGATGGAGCCTGTCAACATAACAAAGTAACCTCCTCGGGTTTCAGTGCTCTGCGAATGTGAGAAGTTTTCAGTTGTTACTGTGTGGACTGGACTGGCGTGCGTTTTTCATTAACACAATTGTGCTTCTTTTAGATTCAGAGTCTGATCATTCCTTGAGTGGATTTGAGACAGTTGGAAATTCTTCTGCAGAAGAGAGTTTGGATTTAAGCTTCCACCGTAATAAGGGCAGTATGTCTGATGACAAGAAGCCCAGCGGGGGAGAAGCCACATCTAATGGCATTAAAAAACACCGGTAAGAATGGGCTAGTGGGGGAGTTAGTTAATCTTTGTAAGTCATTGCTGAAGCAGTAAGATGCTTCACATTCTGGTATGTGTGTTTGTGAACTGGCAAGGACATCTGTAGCAACTATGATAGTCAAATGATAGCAAGGAACGTGGGCCTAATATGTGGTGCAGATAAGGTTACAGTTGGAGTGTATGTACATCTATATGTGCATCTGTAGTACAATGAACAAAAGTATTTTATTAGTGTCAGCATGTCTGTGCCTGGGAAACTAAGGGCTTTTGTTGTTAGAAACTTTGGAATAAAGACATCATATGGTGTTTTAGTACATTTCAGATGTGTACAAGGACGTCCGCTCCCAAACTGTAGCATTTCATATTCTTTTAGTGCACCACAGTGGACATGCTGCAGTAAGTAAGGCAGCCTTAATAATGTGTTGGATACCAATAAAATTATTCACTAAGAAGGTCTGTTATATTAAACTAATTATAGGGTACATTCACAGTTAGCAGAAATCCTGTTAACATGGTTGAAACATTATGTAAGCTCGTTTGAAGAATGAAAGGGTTAATGCTGTCTAGTCCTGTGTACATGGCAAAACTACCAATTAAGCAAAATGAAGTGTTTATTCATGAAAAACTGCTTGCCATGTCTGCAGTGGCCCTCTAGAAACACATTGCATGGCTACACTTTCTTATATGGACAAGGACCATCCTATGTTTTAAATTTATTTTTGGGATTTTAGCGGCTTGAATGTGGAGGGCGATTCTGAATAAAACTCAACTAAAGTTTAATACAATTTTTAGTGATGTTTCCTCGTTTTGTGTACTTGATAGCTAGCCAAGCCACCTTTGTTTATAATCATTACGTTACACTGGAAAAAGTTGCCTGTTTCAGCCATTTATGTTCAAAATTCAGTTTCGGAGGAGATGTTGGAAAAGAAGAGGGACTATGATTGGATGATATTTAGACTTCGCTCCAAATGAGTTCTGGTGTTTTCAGTGAAGGGTGCTGTTACTGCTGCAACATATAAATATAATTTAGACTGATGTGCATGTCCAAGCTTGTATCACTAGTTTCAGAAAGATCCTTTTCTGTTCCAACATGACAGTGCCCCTATGCAGAACATCAGCTCCATGACTCAGGAGGAGCTCATGACTGACGCCGTTCACATCTCTTTTCACCTGTGAGCTATTGGTGTGCGGTGTCTATCAACCCCTCATATATCAACTCCATAAAGCCTTGATTTTGGGTGGAGGAGCACAGAGTCTAGACCACAACTCTACTGTGCACCTTTGGTATGAATTACAACTCCAATTGTGAGCCAGACATTCTCGTCCAACATCACTACGTGACCTCACAGATAAGTTGAATGGGCACATATTACCAAAGGCACAGCAAAATCTTGTGCAAAGCCTTCCCAGAAAACTGCCTCAACAGAGTTCAGGCTGTTATAGCGGCAAAGGAATGAGTTGTCTGGGAGAGGGAAAGGGATACAACTCCCTGTGGTCTGGCAATGGGACAAGCTCATATACTCTACAAGTAGGTATAATTGTGCGAGTGGTCATTAAAGTTGTTGTAAAGGCTGAAGGTTTTTTACCTTCAAGCATTCTATGCATGGAGGTAAAAAGCCTTCTGAGTGCAGTTCCCCTTCACCCTTAGACCCCCCGTTATATTAACCTGAGCCCGATCTCAATCCAGCGATGTGCTCAAGTGTCGGGCCTCTCTTGGCTTCTCACTTTTCATTGGCTTAGAGACAGCAGCATGAGCCATTAGCTCCCACTGCTGTTAATCACAGCCAGTAAGGAGGGAGCGGGGCCAAGCCATGCTCTGTGTGTCTTATAGACACACAGAGGCAGCTCAGGAGTGAGCTTGCAGTAGTGCCCCCATAACAAGCAGCTTGTTATGGTGGGCACTCTGTTGAGGGGAGGGGCCATGAACGCTAGTGGAGGACCGGGTTGGACCGGGGCTGCTCTGTGCAAAACCATTGCACAGAGCAGCTAAGAATAACATGTTTGTTATGTAAAAAAAACCCAAAGCTTTAGAATCACTTTAAGGCTAGAGAGTGCTTCTTCTTGGAGTAATATCATCCTTGCGAACCTGTCTGGCAGACAGATCTTTTCTTAAATGATGATGATTTTTTTACAGCATCGGAGCATTTACCATTCACTTCCATTCTAAGATGATGTGGTGATCACTAGTTAAGTGAGGATGCATGTTGTGGTTTTCCATCTCTCAGTATTAGAGACGATTCTGTTAATTCAGTTGTGCTCCTAGATGGTCAGTAGCCCCTCACTTTGTGTGTATTCTCATATTAACCACAACTAAATTATATATAGTATGTGTGTGTGTGTGTATATATAGATTCATATTTATGTCCAAGTTTTTTTATTTTGCCATGGTAATTGAAGAAATTGGGTGAGATATGGAATTTCATTGCCATATGGCACGGTCATCTGTGTCCTTTTAGTACTTTAATTATTTTGTTGTTCCGCCCTATGCTGTGTGTGGCAGCACTTTCCCACAACTGCCATTACTGGGCTCCCAGTACAGTACATATACACACTCACGTACACTTTATCATTAGCTATTTTGGTTGTGATTATTATGGGACTTGTTAAGTGTATTTAAATGAAATTTATTAGCAAGACTATAATCAGTGAATCCCAATGCAGGTTTATTTGAGCTTTGTTTTTCACTGCCACTTCCCTCTTTTAATTAAACATTATTTATTAATAGATCTTCAGCAACTTTTTAGTTTGCAGTCACTTGATCCTCTGCTGATGGAATTAAAGATGTCATGGTCCTTATAGAAATATGTTGTATATTTTTTCTGCTTAGAATTATGGGGTATTTATGCTCTATTTGTGCCTGGGAATCAAAAGGCACACATTTTGTATCATTTATCTCAATTCACCTTTGCTACATACCCTGAAAGTGGATCCTCTGCCGCATGCTCATTGTTTCATGATCTGTCAGGATGAAATGTACACCACACTTCTCCAATGTCCTTTATGCATTCTTCTACAGGCCTGAGTGTAAACACAACAGGCATATTTTGTCTTTTGTGCTTAGCTTTGGTATTTACATACCTCTCTTATTATTACTGTTTACCATGTGGCGCATTTAGGTGGTAACATTGATATGCCATAGGATGTTTTGTGTTTCATGCGCAGCATAGACTGCAAGTCTTCAACAATGACAATGTAGCTGACATTCAGGATATGAAAATCAGGGTGGCTATTTAAAAGAGCATGTAATATGTGGACGTTGTTGTTATAATAAATGGGACAACAACTTCCAAAAAGGAGTTTTGCTCCTTGCAACCTTCCCATCTTTAGCAATACAAAAACGGTGGGGTTTTTGTTTCCTTTCATTTTACCATGTCAACAACCCAGAAGAGACAGACAGGCTCCCAACGTTGTCAGAGGGGAAAATGGCAGTGGGGGACCCAGGCTGCGAAACCCGAGCAGCGGGTCAGATCAGGGCAACACTGTATGTACTATGTTGAAGACAACCTGTATAACCAGTAAGAGAGAAGGGGGGAAAAATGGGCGTGGTACTTTTTTAAGAAATACATTTTTATACTTTTTTTTAATAACCATTGGTCAGTAATTTTGATATTGAAAACCCAACCTCATCTAAATGTTTTTCATGTTAAAGTAGGGAAAGTGGTTATCTCTGGTGGTTGACAGTGTTTTAAATATCTTGAATTTAATTTGTTGGGTAAGTGGAAGCCAGTGGAGGGATTGGCAGAGAGAGGTGGCAGACACTAAATGGTTGGTAAGGTGGATAAGCCTAGCATTCATGATGGACTGGAGGGGGGATAGCCTATGTAAAGGTAAGCCAGTGAGGAGGGAGTTTCGGTAGTCCAGGTGGGAGATGACCAGGGAGTGAGAAGCTTTGTGGTGCCCTTGGTTAGGAAGGGAGATGGAGATGCTGCAGAAGTTGAGGCAGCAAGCTTTGGACAGTTATTGAATATGGGGCTGAAAGGACAGTTCAGAGTCCAGGATTACACCTAGAACCTTGGCTTGCTGAGACGGGTTGATGGTTGAGCTGTTGATATTGACAGAAAAGGCAGGGGAAGGGGCATGTAGGGGAGGAAATATTATGAGCTCTGTTTTGGATAGGTTGAGTTTCAGGAAGTGGTGGGACATCCAGTCTGATATGTTTGTTAGTAGATTAGTGATGCGTGTGGAGACTGATGGAGTGAGCTGAGGGGTAGAGAGATAGATTTGGGTGTCATCAGTATAGAAATTATAGTGAATGCCATGGGAGACTATTAACTGACCCAAGGAAAAGGTGTAGATTGAGAATAGGAGGGGGTCCAAGAACAGAACATTGGGGAACCCCAGTGGAGAAAGGAAGGAGAAGTAGAAATATAAGTGACACTGAATATGTGGTGGGATAGGAAGGATGAGAACCAGTGAAGAGTACAGTCGGGAAGACCAAAGAAGTAGAGTTTTTTGAGGAGCAGGGAGTGGTCCACTCTCTGTGGCAGCAGAGAGGTCCCAGCAGTAGGAGTGCAAAAAAGTGTCAATTGGTTTTAGCCATTAGTAGACTGTTTGTGAGTTTAAGGAGAGCAGTTTCCATGGAGTGTTGAAGGCAAAATCCAGAATGGAGATCAAGAATATTGTTCTCAGTTAGATGGTCACTTAGTTGGTTGTAGACCAACTAAGATTGAAGGAGTTTAGAGGAAAAGGGGAGTAATGAGATGGGAACAAAGGACGTCCGACCGGCTGCACTCCAAACAATCCACTTTATTGAACCAGGATAAAACAAATACAGACAGTGGAAATACAGTGGGGGACTGGCAGGTAAATGCATTCATTACCCATTCATTCGGGTAATGAATAAGCGCTGTCTTTAGCGTGAAAAGCATTTACCTGCCAGTCCCCCACTGTATTTCCTGTCTGTATTTGTTTTATCCTGGTTCAATAAAGTGGATTGTTTGGAGTGCAGTCGATCGGACTTCCTTTGTTCTCATTATGCAGCACATGAGTTGGGCT